CACGATCTCCCGAATATCCCCCACCTCGTCGCTTGTCAGGACCCCTTCCGCATGCTCGTCGAGGAAGTCGCGGATGTCCTCGGTGAGCTGGAGCATGAGGTCGTAGAGACGACCCATCATGCCCTTCGAATCTGAGTCAGTCTTGCGCATGACGACGAATGGCAGCCTCATCAGCTTAGCGAAGAACTCGGCGCGCGTCCACCACGCGGCATCGAGGATGTTGTCTTTGAATGTGTCTGCCCCAGCCCTGTCTACAGCCGCAGTCCACTCGGCCCACTCATCGCTGAGGACCATCTGCGTCAGGCCGGCGCGCACTTCACAGAGGCGGTTGATGGCAATGTAGTTGGTGCCGAATCGGGTTCCTGCGGGCTTGAGAACCTGTTTCCCCTTGCCGCCGTTCACGAGCGGACTCCGCATGTATCCCCGGGTGAAGTGATGGATGCGGACGAACGAGATGAGGGTGTCCCCGCGCGTGACGATGTCCTTCGCCCATCCCTTTTTCCCGATGTCCTCCATCAGGAGATCGAGGACATGGGTCGCGCAAGGGATGTGTTCAATGTGGGGATACTCGCGCATCAACACCCTGCATGCCGTCGCGTAGTTGGAGCCGCCGTCAAAACACAAGGCGATGACATTCTCGGGGCCGACCTTTTCGATGATGGGCCGCAAGATGCCCGCGATGTAGCCCCCGGTCTTCATCTCCATCTTCGTGTCGATCGACTCCACAAACACCGCACCGCTATCGTTGATGAGGAGCACGTTGGCTTGCGGGCGGCCGGCCTTGTCGGAGAACATGTCGCTTGCCACGGTGACACCGTCACGGCGCCAGCTTGCTGAGATAGGAGCGAGCGCCGCCTCAATGCGCTGGCGACACTTTGCAAGACCGGCGCCACCGATGTAGCGTCTCTTCGGCGCGACGTAATTCGGCCCCGCGCGCTGGATGCTGGAGACCACATTCCGCCACAGTGGGTGGTCCGCGTGATGCTCCGGCACATGAAGAGCGGCAAACTATGATGCGAAAGACGCTCAGAGGACGCTGCGTCCTGCGTCTGGACGCAGCGTCTGGACGCTAGGACGCAAGACGCGCGTCCAGACGCAGGACGCAGATCGAAATTTTTTCGGGCTGCCCTGATTTTTTTTTTTCCAGATTACGAATTTCAATCTCGCGATTTCGACGCGACTGTCGAAATCGCGAAATTTTGACCCCCCATTGCCCAATTCGACATTGAAAAACAGTCCCCCCCCAACATTTCATAACCCCCCATGCAACAATTGAATTCCAAATACCTCTCAACCACTTCACAACTAGAAAACCCAACCTAGGTGCCTACCACCAAGCCCATTTAGCAATCCAACCAAGTCATTTCTCATTTCACCCACCCAACCAATTCTCTTTCGAAAACCCTAGACGTTTTAGCCTACAAGCATAGCTTAGCTCCATTATGGCTTCCTCAAGCAACCCTACGTCATCTAACGCATCTAGGGATGTTGGGGCCAAGTTTGCCTTGAAAGTGTGGAACGTTCCCCCCCCCCCTCCTCATCCCATGCCCTATAACAAGTTTTTTTGCCTGCCCGGGGGTTTTTTTTTGCCTGCCCGGGACTGCGTCTTTTGGTGCGTCTTTCTGGTACTGGTGAAGCGTCCTGCGTCCGGACGCATGCGTCTGGACGCATGCGTCCAGGACGCAGGACGCGTCTTTCGCATCATAGGCGGCAAAGAAGAGGCTTATGGCCTCGTCCGCAGCTTGGTTCGCGCACGCGGCGTCGTCGCTGTAGAAGTCGGACATCCGACTCTTCTTCTTGTCCGAACCTCTGCCGTTGACTGCGCCGATCGCCGCAATTTCAGCCGCACGCTTCGCTTCACGGGCCTTCAACTTGGACTCGTAAAGCGCCTTCACGGCGTCACCTGCAGTCTTCGGCGCTGCAGTGCAGAGATGCACTTCGCGACGGCGCATGCCGTTCCAGCTGGTGATATGCTGCGCGCAACGGTGAACCCCGCCAACAAACGTGAAGTTGCAGTAGGCACACACCTTGGTGCCGTTCTCGCCAACGCTATTGGCCGGCACCTTGAAGTGACGGTAGACTGCGTGCTTGCTGTCCATGCAGACCAAAGACGTACTAGAAGAGGTCCCACCAGCGGAACTACCAGGAGACTCTGAGGGTGGCGTACGAGAAGTGGTTGCTGTAGGAGTGGAAGCCATGGTGGCTTGGGAAAGGACATAGCTAGGAAGCGAGAGAATGAATGTCGAGGGAACAAATGCCTCTCTTTATGCCTAGGAGATTGGGTTGGGTTGAGCTCCCAACCAGTAAAGTAGCACTTGGAGGGGATGGTGGAATGCTGTGGTTCAAAGGGGTGTGAAACGTTTGAGGGGAGGGGTTGATGAGGTTTGGTGCTCGAAATTCAAAATTTGAGTTCATTTCGCGACATCTGCGACTCGGAATTGAGATCGCCACGTCGCGAGCTTCAGATTGAAATTTTGTTTTTTTTTTCGGTCTGCCCGAAATTCAACTCGGCGAATTTTCAAACTATACGCAACATACGAATTCGACAAGCGTATAAACGCAAAACGCAAAATGAAAGTAGCGTATATTCCAACTTAGGTGTGTGCACGCGCGCACATGTGCATGTGCGTGCGTCCACGCATCAAGCAGCAGAGCAACAGGCAGGACGTGCAAGCCTGCAGGCGGCACCCCTCACCTTGAGCGTCTTCATGCTGATCACCCCTCACCTTGAGCGTCTTCATGCTGATCACCCCTCACCTTGAGCGTCTTCATGCTGATCACCCCTCACCTTGAGCGTCTTCATGCTGATCACCCCTCACCTTGAGCGTCTTCATGCTGATCACCCCTCACCTTGAGCGTCTTCATGCTGATCACCCCTCACCTTGAGCGTCTTCATGCTGATCACCCCTCACCTTGAGCGTCTTCATGCTGATCACCCCTCACCTTGAGCGTCTTCATGCTGATCACCCCTCACCTTGAGCGTCTTCATGCTGATCACCCCTCACCTTGAGCGTCTTCATGCTGATCACCCCTCACCTTGAGCGTCTTCATGCTGATCACCCCTCACCTTGAGCGTCTTCATGCTGATCACATGCGACGCGTCGATTGCTCCCTCCTCCACCTTCCGCACCACGTCTCGCACGTTCACCACCTGTGTGCACCACACCACACCGCACCGCATGCCGTGCATGGGGGTTGGGGAGGGGATGGTGGAAGCGAGGGAGGGCGGGGGATGATGAGACGGCACAGGAGGTTGCGGCAAGGGGGGCAAGGATAGACCAGGGGGGTGGGGCGGGGGATCGCAAAACGGTGGTGTCACCGCAAGGGGGAGAACGAGGGCGGAGGGGGGCACCTGGGATCGGAGGGCCTTACCTGGAAGCGGAGGGAGAAGGGGTTGTGGAAGCCGCGCTTGGGCAGGCGGATGCGCAGAGGCGTCTGCCCGCCCTCGAACCCGATCTTGGGGTTGCGCCCCGACCGCGCCTTCTGCCCCTTGTGCCCGCGCCCCGCCGTCTTCCCCTTCCCCGACCCCATCCCCCGCCCCACGCGCTTCCCCGTCCGCCGCGCGCCCTCCCTGTCCGCCAGCGCGTTCAGCGTCAGCAGCCCCCCGCTTCCCCCGCTGCTCGCCGCTTGCGCCGATGCTAAGGAGGCCGCTGTGCGGAAGGCGCGGGATGGCGCGGCGGCGAGCGGCGAAGCGTGGAATGGCGCGGAGTTGGGGAGAGGTGAGCGGAGAGTTTGCGAGGGGAAGGCGAGGGAGCGGGGCAGGAGGGCGAGGAGAGGCGGAGAGTGCGGTGGAGGGGAACAGGCGGGGGAGCGAAGGCGGATGGCGGAAGGATCGGCGGAGGGCGTCGATCCGGCGGACAGCAAGGCGGGTCGCGGTTCGACCAGCGGCAGCTCATCGGCGAGCGCGCGCGAGGTGGGCGGAAGGAAGGGGGTGGGGGGAAGAACGTTGCGGTGGTGCGAGGTGCGGCGGGCGAGAGCGCGGAGGAGAGAGCGATGCATGGCGGCGCGCGTGGTGGGACCGTCAGTGGCGCGGAGACGCGAAAGCGACGAGCGATGAACGACGGGCGGCACGAAGCAAGCAAACGAGAGATGCGCCGACCCGTTGCGTTGAGGTCTGGACACGTGGAGCAGACTACGAAAACGCGCAGCGTCACATGCGAGCGTGCGGAGGGCGCGACAATGTGCGACTGCTGGGCGACGAGGAGCGATCACAGAAGTCGCGAGTCATGTCGCATGGCTGTGCGATGTGCTTTGCGACAGCGCCAGGTTGTGAGGGGGGAGGTGCGGAAATGGAGGGGTGCACAAGAGGTGTGGTGGAGGGGGGCGATAAATTTGCACCTTGGCGAACTCATATTGGTAAATTGCACAGTTGTTGCACCTAGTCAGTTCCCCATATATAAACCCGACAAAAGCCCTTGCTCGACCACCACCACCACAGTCGCACCCATTGCGCCTATCTTATTCAGACGGTTTGCTTGTACCACGGCTCAAGCGCAAAGTGCGCTGTACGTAGTCGCACGCGCACCCACCACGTGCCGTGCATCCGCGCCGCGGCTTCTCGTTTCCACTCGCAGCTCGCCACGCGGATCGCGGTGCCCCTTCGCCCTCTCCGTCTCACCCCCTCTCAGCCTCGTCGCCGCCGGCTCGTCGCGCGCTCGCTGCTGGACGCGGCCAGCTCGTCATGGGTGACGTGGCGACTCAGGTGGAGGAATTCGCGACGCGACTGAAGCGAAGGTGAGGGAAAGGGAAATGGAAGGACGCGGACGCGGAGTCGTGTGAGATCACGGTTCTGAAGCGTGGACACTTTGGTAGCAATGAACACGTCTAATTGGCTGCCATGCTCCAAGATTACTCGCAACTTGTGTAGTGAGCAATGATCGGGTGTGTCTGCACGTCACGGAGGGAAAACATTGGTTGACGGTGTCCAAGTTTGGTTGATGGTGTCCAAGCTTCGCCCAGAACCGTGACCTGAGTGGCCCCGGCGTATTAGTAGTCGCGGCATGCTGGTCACGAGGCGAAGGCGCGCGGGCGATGGTAGCAGCGTGCACGAGGTGCGTCACTCGCCGCCGCCGCTGCCATGCCCACGGCCGCGCCGCAGCCGCATCCACATCCATGGCCCCCATGCTCGCCGCCTTCCCCCTTCCTCGCCTCGCGTTCCATCTGCCCCTTGCACCGTTGGTACCTGCGCCTGCATCACTCCCAAGTTCTCCCAAGTTCTCGCTATTGGCCGTTGTGCGTGTTGTGGGTGAACCCATTGCGTGAGTGCGCGTGGCGTGGCAGGCAGGAGGAGGGGCGGCACAAGACAGCGCGGCGGACGGCGGAGCTGCTGCGCCTGGTGGTGTCGCAGCAGCGCATGCCCGCCGCGCACCCCACCGCCGCCCTACTCGACGCCGTGCGCTCCGTCGGCTCGCGCCTCGCCGCCGCCAACCCCTCTGGTGAGCCGTGCTGGCCATGAGGTGAGCCCTGGTAGGCGTGAGGTGAAGGATCCTGGCAGCAGCACAGTGCGGTTGTGGGATGCAGGTGCAGGTCAGGACGCATGGTGCAGGACAGGACGCATGGTGCAGTGTACCTCACCTCACCTCGCAACACAGCCCCCCCCTCCTTGCACCCTCGCGCACTGCCATTGCTGCTCTCTCCCCACTGCACCACACCCCATTCCCTCACTTGCTGCCAGCGTGGAGGAGCACGCGGTGCATGCTATATTTTGGGCCCTCACTCTCCCAACCACCACAACCACCCTCCCCCCTCCCCACCCCACACACCCTCGTGTACTTGAACCCGCCATGGCGTGCGCAGCGGTGGTGGTGGGCAACGTGGTGCGGCGCGTGATGCACGCCATCCGTGAGGAGGACGCCGCGCTGCACCTCGCGCACGCGCAGGGGCACGGACACACACACTCGGGCCACGCTGCACCAGATGTGGCCGTGCGGGGGGGAGGGGGCGCGGTGGGGGGCGAGCGGTGGGGCGAGGAGGGCGAGGGCGAGGGGCGGGGGGGAGGGGGGGCGCTTTCAGCGGCGTCGGTGGCGGGGAGCAACCGCAGTGTGCTGCTGGCGCCGTCGCTGCACAACCTGCTCGACCCCGCACTGCTCCCCTCCTCCTCCGCGCCCCTCCCCCCTTCCGCCCGCTCCTCTGATGGCGCCTCTGCCCCCTCGCCCGCTGCCGCTGCCACTGCTGCTGCTGCCGGTGCGTTGGGGAGCAGCGGAGACAGGGAGAGAAGGGTGAGGAGAGAGGAGCGAGATGGGAAGGGGTGGAAGGGAGGGGAGGCAGGATGGATGGAGTGCAGATGAGTGAGCAGGCAGGAGTGGTGTCTGGTTGTGTGCTGTGCTGACAAGGACTGTGAGGTCCCATGGGTGTGAGAGAGGGTAGCTTGCGGGGCGGTGGGGTTGAGGGAGCTGTCGCTGGGCTGCCTGCCGTGGAGTGTGCCGCTAGGGCCAGCCATCAAGTCAACGCTTCTACGTGCCGTGCCATCGTGTGCTTGCTCACGCCCCACTCACTGCATGCTTGCCTGCATGTGTGCATGGGACATGCATGGGTGCATGCGTGCATGGGTGCATGGCAGAGCGGAAGCTAAAGCACGTGGTGATAGAGCGAATCAACGATCTGCTGGAGGAGATTGACAACCACCAGTCACAGCTCGCCGACCAGGCGCTCGAACACATCCACCAGAAGTAAATCCCTCCCCTCCCCTCCCCTCCCTCCCCTCACCTCCCCTCCTCCCCTCCCCCACCTACTTCCCTCCCGTACCTACCTCCTTTCCCCACCTCCCCGGGCCTCACGCACTCCATCCTTCCGCCATGCCTCTGCCGTCCCTCCGTCCCCAATATCTCAAGCCTCTGCCTGCACTTCAATCCGCACTTGTCCATTCGTGCGTCTCCTTGTGTGTCTGCCCCTGAATTCGCCCACCTATCGCTGCCCGCAATGCTCCTGTTTCTCCCTCTCCGTTCCCACCTATTTTACCTCTCTCTCTTTGTCGGTTTTCCTGCCCCCAATTCCTGCCACGTTTTCCCTCTCCGCCCCTCCGGAACCTTCTCGTTACGCCGGCTCTCTCTCGCGCCTCTCCCCACCTTGGTTGGCACGGCGTGGCGTGGCGTGGCGGGGCGGGGCGTGGCGGGGCGGGGCGTGGCGTGGGGGCAGTGAGGTGATACTAACGATGGGTTTCAGCGACACGCTGCTGCTCTTCCTGCTCGAAGCCAGGAAGCGACGCTCCTTCCATGTGAGCCTGCCTTCCATGTGAGCCTGCCTTCCACGTGAGTGCCATACCCCGTTCAACCAATCTATTCACTAACAGCAACGTGTGCATATCGCTGCCGCGTCAACGGATGGCTCCTCACTGGGGCGCCGTTGATGCATGGGGTATTCACCACAGCAGAGGGGCGCCGTTGATGCATGGGGTATTCACCACAGCAGAGGGGCTCCGTTGATGCATGGGGTATTCACCACAGCAGAGGGGCGCCGTTGATGCATGGGGTATTCACCACAGCAGAGGGGCGCCGTTGATGCATGGGGTATTCACCACAGCAGAGGGGCTCCGTTGATGCATGGGGTATTCACCACAGCAGAGGGGCGAATACAAGCACCCATGTGCCGCGCGTGCTGCAGCAGGCATGGGGCAGCGTGGGCTGCCCACTTGCCAGGCCACGCCCCCATGGGGCGGCCATACAAGCGCGTGAGGGTGTGATGGTGACGGTGATGCGCTTCTCACGCTGCCCTCCCGCCACCACCTCTCCACCACGTGTGCACCACAGAGTCCGCCACCCATGCTGTTCCCCCTTCGCCTCCACCCGCCTCCCCTCCTCCTCGCCCTCCCCTACGCACGCGGTGGTGCGTGGGAAACCTCAACGGCATGCCACATGGAGCCCTGCCGTCTGCACGTGCTGGTGCCAGAGGCCGCCCCCGCCGCCTGCTACAGCATCCCCATCGCTCTCACGCCGCCTGCCACAGCATCCCCATCGCTCTCACGCCGCCTCCCCTCCCCGCCACCGCGCCGTCCGTCTCTTCCCTGCCCACCCTGCCTGCCCTCCTCCCCATGTGCCTGCTTGCCAGGTGGTGGTGGCGGAGGGCGCCCCCTGCTACGGCGGCCACAAGCTGGCGGCGGCGCTGGCGGGGCGCGGGGTGGCGGTGACGGTGATAGCGGACGCGGGGGTGTTCGCCCTCATGGCGCGCGTCAACCTCGTGCTGCTCGCCGCCCACGCCGTCATGGCCAATGGCGGCGTGCTCGCTCCCATCGGTGAGTGGGAGCGCCCGTTGGTGAACGGATGAAGAATGATGGCAGAGGGGGCTGTGAGGGAGAAGTGTGGAAAAGAGGGAAGAGGTGCTGCAACACTTACCGCTGCGAGAAAGCCAATAGCCTGACCTGCTGTCACATCTATCTCTGCGTTGTCCCTACCACTTCCCTCTCTTTCCTTCAGTACCTCCCCTCTCCGTGCCTCACTGTCCCCTACTCGTCTCGTCCCCCTGCTGTATCCGAGATCCGGACATGGGTCAGTGAGCTGCGTGCGTGCAGAGGTGCTGCACACTTACCGCCACTACTCATCTCGTCCCCCTGCTCTATCCCCCCCCCTGCAGGGCTGGACATGGTGGCACTGGCAGCGCGCCGCCACGCCGTGCCCTTCGTGGTGCTCGCCGGCATCTTCACTGTCAGTGCTGCCCCCCCCTCCACCTCCCCGCCACACCCCCTCCACCTCCCCGTCACCCCCCCTCCACTCGACCTCACCTGCCCACGTGCTTGACTGCACTCACGAGCTTGACTGCACTCACGTGCTGTGGTTATGATGTCACGCCATACCGCACATGATCTACCATCTACCGTACTGCACCTGCACCAGCGCTCGTCTGGATCCTCACGCTCCTGCCCTTGCGTGCGTCGCGCCCCCCACCTGCCGTGGCCCACCAGGTGTGTCCGCTGTACCCGCAGCAGGCGGGGCTGGCGGGGCTGAACGACGTGCGCTCGCCGGCGGGAGTGGTGGGGCTGGCGGAGCTCGCGCACTGGGAGGGCCTCGCGCACCTGGGGGCTGCCCTCACTGCCCAGGGGCGGGGCAGTGGCAAAGCGGGCGCACAGGGGGGTGAGGAGGCGGAGGGGCAGAGGGGGGAGGCTGAGGCCGAGGCGGGGGTGGAGGTGGAGGCGGGGGTGGAGGTGGAGGTGGAGGTGGTGAACCCGGCGTTTGACTACATTCCCCCGGAGCTCGTCACTCTGCTCGTCACCGACACGTTAGTCGCCCCCCTGCATGCCGTCTCGCCCCCCTGCATGCCGTCTCGCCCCCCTGCATGCCGTCTCGCCCCCCTGCATGCCGTCTCGCCCCCCTGCATGCCGTCTCGCCCCCCTGCATGCCGTCTCGCCCCCCTGCATGCCGTCTCGCCCCCCTGCATGCCGTCTCGCCCCCCTGCATGCCGTCTCGCCCCCCTGCATGCCGTCTCGCCCCCCTGCATGCCGTCTCGCCCCCCTGCATGCCGTCTCGCCCCCCTGCATGCCGTCTCGCCCCCCTGCATGCCATCTCGCTTCCCTGCATGCCCTCACTCCCCTGCATGGTACCTCCTCACCTTCTTCCGCACTCTCTGTTCTCCCACATGTGCGCATGGCAGGGGCGGCCACAACCCGTCCTACATCTACCGCCTGGTGGCCGAGTACTACAGCCCGCACGACCACAACCTCTAGCCATGGTCTCACGGAATTACAGGAACGCCATGTCAGCACCTACAACCGCTAAGCTCAGCAGCACCCTTGGCCCCAGGGAGGTTCCTAGGATGTCGGGTATACGTCTACAGTGCCCACCCGGATACACCGTATGCCCCTGGTTACTTGACGGGTTTGACAACCATATTCCCCCCTGGATATAACACCCTATGGTTCTGTGACAATTTCATTAAAAAAAAATTGGTGGGTCGCAAGGAAAACATACCGGTACCGTAAGGCCGCTTATCCAAAACCCAGGAGTTTTGTATTCTGGGGGGTCTTTTACCCAAATAATTTTGGCAGTTCCGTCCCGTTTTGGCACTTCAATTTAGACAAGGCCCACGTTATTCCCGCTTCAAGGTATGCAGCTTGTGCAAATTGGTTACATGCACTTCTGGAAAGTGTTTACACACACACAAAAAAAAAAAACTACATTTTGTGCAAGCCTTCGCTTACAACTACTTGTCAGTGGTTCAAAAACTACTAAACATTAAACCTAAAGAGCATAACGTCCCCCTCTTGCACGACATACTCTTTGCCCTCAGCTCGCAGCTGCACATGAGCAGACAGACGTGCGGTGAGCAAGAGTGGGAGAAGAGAAGAGAAAGCACGTATGGTAGAAGAGAAAGCACGTATGATAGAAGAGAAAGCACGTATGGTAGAAGAGAAAGCACGTATGGTAGAAGAGAAAGCACGTATGGTAGAAGAGTAGCATGCATGCATTGACACAGAGATGCACGCATGGCATGGTACAAGAGAAGCACGCATGGAAACAAAGCATTGACGGTAAGAGAGAAGCATGCACATGCAGGTGGAGGCAATGTGAGTTGAGTGGAGGTGACTCACGAGGCCTTTCTCCTTGGCAGCCGTGTACGAGCCACTCGCCACAAAGTCTTTGTATGATATCTGCATCGCACATGCACGCCCACATGCACGCCCACATGCACGCCCACATGCACGCAGAACAAGGTTAGCCTCCTCAAGGTACCAAGGGTGGCACGGCTCGCCAATGCTGTGGTGGGCGAGGTAAGGAGTGAGATGCGATGCAGCCACAAGCAATACATTTGTGGGCACAGCACGTGGTGCTAGGAATCACTAGTGGTGGGTGCCTGGGGAGACAGAGCACGGTACAAGGAGAAGCAAGGCAGTGAGGGAGAGAGGGAGAGAGGGAAAGAGGGAGAGAGGGAGAGAGGGAGAGAGGGAGAGAGGGAGAGAGGGAGAGAGGGAGGGGGGGAGGGGAGGGGCCGTACGGTCTCGGCACGGATGAAGCCGCGCTCGAAGTCGGTGTGGATGACACCCGCTGCCTGCGGTGCCGTCATGCCCGCTCGGATCGTCCACGCCCTCGTCTCCTGCATGCACGTAGGGCAGGTGTGTGAGGCATTGAGTATGGGGCAGTGCAGGCATGGGGCAGTGCAGGCATGGGGCAGGGAGAGCCTCATCACTCAACGCCATGGCCCCCTACCGCCCCTCGCAGCTCCGTGTCCCTTGCCCGTCGCACTGCAACCCTCCCCCCCTCGTCTCCAAGCCGCTCACCTTCTCCCCCGCAGTGAAGTAGGTGCGCAGCCCCAGCAGGCGGTACGTGGCCTGCACGAGCCCTGCCAGCCCGCCCTGCTGCACGCCCAGCGACTGCAGGTACTCCACCCGGTCCGCCTCGCCCAGCTCACACAGCTCCGCCTCCACCTGCCATGCCATGGCCCCGTGCCCCCATGAGCAAGGTCACGGTGCGGACAGTGACGGTGGGTACGGTGAGGGTGGGTACGGTAGGGTGGGTACAGGGAGGGTGAGTACAGGGAGGGTGAGTACAGGGAGGGTGAGTACAGGGAGGGTGAGTACAGGGAGGGTGAGTACAGGGAGGGTGGGGTGAGTGACAGGCGAATGGGGCAGAGCAACGGACCTGAGCGGAGCAACGGACCTGAGCGGAGCAACGGACCTGAGCGGAGCAACGGACCTGAGCGGAGCAACGGACCTGAGCGGAGCAACGGACCTGAGCGGAGCAACGGACCTGAGCGGAGCAACGGACCTGAGCGGAGCAACGGACCTGAGCGGAGCAACGGACCTGAGCGGAGCAACGGACCTGAGCGGAGCAACGGACCTGAGCGGAGACCACGACGCACTCGGCGCCTTCACTGGACGCCAGCTGGCGCACAGCTGTCACGTGCGGGTTGGAGGAGGGGTCAGCGAGGTCAGTCTCAGCGACGTTGGCGGCGTAGATGATGGGCTTGGCCGTCAGCAGGCACAGCTGCGCCACCAGCGGCGCCTCCTCCTCGCTCAGCTCCACGCTGCGCGCCGCCCCCCCCGCCAGCACCGCCTCCCTTATGCGCTCCAACGCCCCCGCTTCCGCCTCCTCCTGGGGGGGGGTGAGGGAAGGGAGTAGGGGAGCGATGGGGGTATGGAAGGAGGTGTGGGGGGCGAACGAGAGCATTGAGTATGGGACAGAAGACCGGGGTGGGAAAGCAGGAGTGAAAAAACAATAGTGCAGAGCAGGCGGCGGGCGGAGGGCAGAAGGCAGACGGAGGAGGGCAGAAGGAAAGGTGCAGGAAAAAAGTCGGAAGGCGGAGGTGGAGGGCGGAGAGTGGAGGGCGGAGAGTGGGGGGCGGAGAGTGGGGGGCGGAGAGTGGAGGGCGGAGAGTGGGGGGCGGAGAGTGGGGGGCGGAGAGTGGGGGGCAGACGGAGGGGGGCAGACGGCGGGGGGCAGACGGCGGGGGGCAGACGGCGGGGGGCAGACGGCGGGGGGCAGACGGCGGGGGGCAGACGGCGGGGGGCAGACGGCGGGGGGCAGACGGCGGGGGGCAGACGGCGGGGGGCAGACGGTGGGGGGCAGACGGCAGGGGCATGGTCTGACCCGGGAGCGAGCCTGCGGGTCCTTGGAGCGACTCTTGCTCAGCCGCTCCATGCGCTTCTCTATCTGCCATGGCATGGTGGGTGGGTGAGGGGGGCATGCATGCACCGTGGCATCATGGCGCCGTGGCACAGAAACAGATTGAACGTTCTTAGTGTTGAATAAGCTACATGTAATGAGTCAGCACGAGAAGCAGTTGTGCAGCTGTGATAACGCTGCAGAAGCAGCAGCATTGGCAGCAGCAGCAGGAGCAGAAAGGGTCTGGAAGAGGTGGTGTGGAAGAGGTGGGTTCCCTCTCCTCTGTTTTCCATGTACGTGCCTGGGATGACGATGAACATGCCTGGGTAACGATGTACGTGCCTGGGTAACGATGTACGTGCCTGGGAGAGGTCGCTGAGGGCGAGCTCGAGGTTGATGACGTCGATGTCGGCCGTGGGGTTGACGGCGCCACTCACATGCACGATGTCACTGTCCTCAAAGCACCGCACCACCTGTGGCCCGCCATGCACCCGTGCCGTGCACACAAAGTGAGTGCGGCGAGAGGGAATGGCAGATGAGGAGAGTTGCGATTGAGCAGAGCATGCACCATGCATTTCCCCATCACGCCCGTGCCACATGTCATACCATGCCATGCCTCATGCTCATGCCATGCCTCATGCTCATGCCATGCCTCATGCTCATGCCATGCCTCATGCCACGGCTGCATCATGCTCATGCCATGCCACACTCCTCAGCACGCCTGCCAGCATGCCTCGTGCCACATGACATGAGCGCACATCACCTGCACGACGGAGTCCACCTCGCGGATGTGCGACAGGAACTTGTTGCCCAGCCCCTGCTCGCACGCACGTATGCATGGCAGCATGGCAGGCAGGCAGGCAGGCAGGCAGAGCAAGAGGGACGGAAGTGAGCAGGGCGTGTGAGAGGCAGGAAGCGCGGCACATACGGTGGAATGGTGCACCCCCTCTGCTACTCTCCCTCCCGCCAACAACCATACAACAGAGCCTCCTGCCCACTCCGCACCCATTGCCCCATCGCCCTCCCTCCCCTTCCCCCCCACAGCACATCGCCCTGCCCTTCCCCCTTCCATGCGCCCCCCCCCACCCCAACAACCGGGCACCCCCCCCCCCCTTCCCCCCCACCTCGCCCTGCCAACCCCCCCCCCGCACAACGCACCTCGCCCTGGCTGGCGCCCTTGACGAGTCCGGCGATGTCAACGAACTCCACCGTGGCGGGCAGCGTGCGCTTTGATGACGTGAGGTCCGACAGCACGCCCAGGCGCGGGTCGGGCACGGCCACCACGCCGACGTTGGGCTCGATGGTGCAGAACGGGAAGTTGGCTGCTTGTGCCTTGCCGTTCTCCACCTGCCCGCGTTGACAGGGGGGGGGGCGCGTGGAAGAGAGGACGCGGGAGATGAAGGCGTGGCGTAGAGGCGACAGGGGGGGCATGGACGGCGTGCACTGGGCATGCCGGGAGGGAAAGTAGGCAGAGTGCAGGCAGTGGGGTTGCTGAAAGGAAGGCAGCGATTTAGGAGCTAGCAGAAGCAGGCAGTGCGAGGTGGTGCACACGCGTGGCTCGTGTGCGGCATGGCATGGCATGGCATGGGCGCAGGTGGAGTTGAGGAGTGGACGATGGGTGAAGCATGAGGAGGAGGAGGGAATGGGCAACGGGGTGAGAGAGGCGGGGCGGGGCGGGGCGCGCACGAGGGCGTTGAAGAGCGTGGACTCACGAGGGCGTTGAAGAGCGTTGACTTGCCCACGTTGGGCAGCCCCACGATGCCGCTGCGCAGCGCCATGCTCACCCGCGCGCCCCCCCGCCCCACCCCCGCCGCCTCCGAGAACGCCCGCGCTGCTGTCTGCTGGCGGGGGGGGGGGGGGGCGAATAGGTGGAAGGGGGGAGGAGGGGGGCAGTTGGGAGGGGGATTGTTGAAGGGGTGGCAATGGAATGCGTGCAGAGGAGGAGACGGTTAGACGGTGGAGAGATGGCAGCACACATGTGAACACACGTGCCACGGGTGAGGAATGGAGGCGGCGAGTGGGCGGCCTTGCAACGTGGCAAGCGACGAGCACAGGCGACCCCCCAGCGACGACCCACCAGCGGCGCGAGGAGGCGCGGCGAGGCGGCGAGGCCGTGAAGGCGCGCCTTGAGGCCCACGCCGACGCGCGCCGTGGCGCACGCCGCCACTGCCGCCGCCATGCCCGCTGCTGCCGTGCTGCGCGGCGCCGCGGCGATACTCCTCGTGCTGAGAGGGCGAGACGGCGAGAGGGCGAAAGGGCGAGAGGGTGGGAGGGCGAGAGGGTGCGAGGGAGAGAGGGTGCGAGGGAAAGGGTCGATAGAGAGGTTGAGTGACGCGCGGGGCTGGTGGAGGGGATGGGAGAGCAGTGTGAGCCGGGGACAAAGAGTCCGCTGGGGTTTTAGGCGTTCAAGATTTGAAGTTTAAACTTGTTTTGTCGTGAATGATTAGAACGCGCGGAAGTCAATAACGAGAAAAAATTACACCTGATCCTTGTTACGGCGTGTTGCAGTTTGCGGTGCACTGCATCGGCTCGGCTCGTGGCGCGAGTTTAGGAAGGCTCCACGAACGCAAGCTGCCGTAATTTTTTTACAGAATACGTGCAAAGACAATGCAGAAAATAGACAATGCAACATTAAATTTTGAATATTTAATGTTTGAATGCTCGGCAGAAACTATGTCATGATATAACCTTGGCAAATAACAGTTTCGTAACGCGCCGCACGGTTGGAAATGAAATTGAATAAGGCAATGTACCCCTTAGAGTACATGGCTAGCTAGGTCGAATCGAATTCCCCTGTACTCATATTTATATCTTTGTATTTGCATTTTTTTAAAATCTCAAGCATTTTATCTTCACTCTGCTATTGAGGTCAAGGGCATACCAGCACTATCTAGCTGTGTGCGAACCTTCCCGAGGAGATCCTAGGAGCGATCATCCTCTGATCGCAACATGGTATGAGAGCGACTCGGGGATCCTTCGCACTGACATTCGGAAAGCAACGTCCGGCACACGATCGCGTGTGAGAATGGCCGGAGGATCTGGTGGTTAGACAAATCTGACGGCTGAAGCGCAACCTAACCCAGCTGTGACAAGCGAGGAAACTACGACGATCGGGACCTGAGTTCTCGCACAACTATTTCAGCGACTCACCAGCCTGGAGCAAGGGCTCCAGACATTGCGGAACGGCGATGCGGGAACCTCCTCGCAACCTACTCAACCGACCCCAAACGGCCATAACGCCGCCCCTCACACTTTTGTCAGAACATTATAGCTTATGCTTTTGTGTAGGCTATAGTGGGGTATCCCATAGGGAGTACAACCCAAGTAGGGTTAGTACTTGTACCCACTTCATTCTAGTTCATCCATTTTCTCGTTTCTTCTTATGGTATCGAGCAGGTTCCCTCGTGGGAACTGTTCCTAGGGCCCACCAAGTCGAGAATTTTTTTTCCTGCCCGGAGCGCGCTCCGCTTAGGCCCGAATCGCGCCTCGTGTGCTCTCTCTACCGTCGCGTTCATCCTAGGCCTTCCTCGGCCCCGTCGCGTCGCCCCTAGCGGCCTCCCTCGAGCCGCCCTTACTCGGCCCGTCGCCGCCCTACGCGGCCCGTCGCCGCCCTTTACTCGGCCCGTAGCCGCCCTTACGCGGCCCGTCGCCGCCCTAAGCGGCCGGTCGCCGCACTTCTTCGGCCCGTAGCCGCCCTTACCCGGCCCGTCGCCGCCCTAAGCGGCCCGTCGACGCCCTAAGCGGCCCGTTGCCGCCCTCCTTTGGCCCGTCGCCGCCCTTACGCGGCCCGTCGTCGCCCTGAGCGGCCCGTCGCCGCCCTATTCGGCCCGTCGCCGCCCTACGCGGCCCGTCGCCACCCTACACGACCCGTCGCCGCCCTTTCCGGCCCGTCGCCACCCTTCCGCGGCCAGTCGCCGCCCTTAAGCGGCCCGTTTCCGCCCTTACGCGGCCCGTCGCCGCCCTTTCCGTCCCGTCGCCGCCCTTTCTGGCCCGTCGCCGCCCTCAGCAGCTTGGCGCCGCCCTTCCCGGCCCTGTGCGCCACCCTACACGGCCCCCGCGCCTCCTCCTCCTATCCCACGGCCGCCACACCTCCACTCGGGCCGTCGTCACGGAGGCAAGAGCCGCCGCAGTCGGGCCGCCGAGCAGCCGAGCCGCCGAGCCGCCCAGCAGCCGAGCCGCCGAGCAGCCGAGCCGCCCAGCAGCCGAGTCGCCCAGCAGCCGAGCCGCCCAACAGCCGAGCCGCCCAGAAGCAGAGCCGCCCAGCAGCCGAGCCGCCCAGCAGCAGAGCCGCCGAGCCGCCGACCAGCCGAGCCGCCGAGCCGCTGAGCCGCCCTACTTCCGAGCCGCCCGAGCTGCCCCGTCCGGTGAGCACAGCGTCTCTTTCACTGCACTGCCCTCACCCTACTGTTTGCACTGCTAGTCTACTGTGGTCATCGCTACCCCTAGTGTTCTCGCTTTTGACGCTGAGGGTCGGGCCATTGACTTTGAGGTCTGGGTAGATGACCTGCAGCTGTTCTTACAGTGCGATAGGGCAGACGGCCTCTCTCTCTTTGACCTCACCTCTGGCGCTTCCCCTGCCCCTGCTGCTGATGCTGACGCCCCTATTCGCTCCCAGTGGGCCACGCGCGACGCTGCTGCACGTCTTGCTGTGCGTCGCCACCTCCCTACCTCCAAGCGTGCGCACTTTAGTCAGTACAAGAGTGCTCAGACCTTGTACGACGCTGTAGTTGCACGCTACTCCTCCCCTGCCACTGCTGCACTGAGCCGTCTCATGCTGCCGTACCTCTTCCCTGACCTTGCTGCCTTTCCCACAGTCGCTGACCTCATTACGCACCTCCGCACTAGTGACACTCGCTACCGCGCTACGCTTCCTGCTGACTTCTGTGCCAAGAACCCCCTCCCCCCCCCCATGTACATCACCCTCTACTTCATAGTCACTCGCCTCCCTGACTCCCTTAGAGTAGTCAGGGACCACTTCGTCGTAGTGTGCCCCACCACTCTCACCATTGACCTCCTCGAGAAGGCCCTCCTAGCGGCGGAGAAGAGCATAGTCGCTGTAGGAGCCTCTCGTGGAGACCCCCGCACCCCTGTCTTTGAGGGGTGTTCTCCCTCCCCCCTCTTGCCCCTTGTTGCTTCTGCTGCTGCGGCCGACCTCGTTCGTTTTGAGTCGGTCGGTGCTGCGTCTGCCCCTTCGGGGAAGCGCCGCACAGGCAAGGGCAAGGGGGGCAAGGGCGCTGGAGGAGCTCGCGGGGGCGGCGGAGGTGGTGGTGGAGGCGGCGGAGGGAGTGGGGGTGGTGGTGGGAGTGGTGGAGGGGGTGGGGGTACCGGTGGCAGCAGTGGGGGCGGAGGCGGCGGCGGTGGCGGAGGGAGCGGAGGAGGCGGTGGTAGCGGAGGCGGCGGTGGTGGCGGAGGCGGCGGTGGTGGCGGAGGCGGAGGAGGCGGCGGAGGCGGCGAAGATGGCGGTGGCGCTGGTCGCGGGTATACGCAGAGGAGTGGCTCCAGTGGTGGTCCGCGCCAGCAGCAGCAGCGCGGTCGTGAGACCCTGTCCCCTCAGCAGCTCCGTGAGTGGTACACTGCACGCCAGCGGGGTGGGGGTTTCGGTACGTGCACCTACGTCCTGCGCACCGGCGACCGTGCGGGTGAGCAGTGTGGGGGTGCGCACCCCACCCAGCGCTGCTTTGGCCGCCTGATGGACGCGTGGCGTCACCAGTTCCCTGAGGCCACTGAGATCCCTCGCTGGGGCGAGCTGTCTAGGGCGGGAGTTGCCATCTATGATCTTGATTTTGATGCCATTCTTTCTGCCATGTATGCTGTGACTATTAGTGAGGAGGGTGACTGTTACCGGTGTTTCCCGCACGATCCGGGCATCGAGACTGCTGCTCTAGGTACTGGTGCGGCTGCTGCCCTAGGTGCTTGCGACGCTGCTGCTCTAGGTGCTAGTGCGTCTGCGTCCTCAGGTACTGGTGAGTCTGCGCTCTCAGGTACTGCGTCGGCTTTGGCCTCCCTCACCTTCACCCTTGACTCTAGGGCTTCTCGCTCCTTCTTTCGGGACCGCACCACACTCACGCCGCTTAGTCGGCCGGTTGCGGTGTCTCTAGCTGACCCCTCTGGGGGTCCTGTCCCGTCTCACTTCTCCACAGTCCTCCCGTGTCCGGCGGCTCCCTCTGGCACCCTGTCTGGTCTCTACCTCCCCTCGTTCTCTACGAACTTGGTGAGTGGTGCTGATCTACAGGATGGGGGAGTGCACCAGTTCACTCCTGCGCGCCAGCGAGTGACGCACTGCACAGAGGCTCGCACAGGCCGACACTTGGCTACGTTTACACGTCAGCCGGGGTCGAGCCTGTACACACTGACCACTGCGTCTCCTCCAGTTGCTGAGTCTGGTAGGGTAGCTGCGTCGGGTCAGGTGTTTGCTGCAGCATCCAGGTCTGGTCCTGAGTCTGCCCCCTGTTCGTGTCGGCTCGTGTCTCACGAGACTCTCCTCTGGCACCACCGCCTTGGTCACCCCTCTCTGCTTCGGCTCAGAGGCATGGCCTCCCGTCTTCTTGTTTTTGGTCTCCCCAGGCCCCTCCCTCCCCTTCCTCAACGGCCTGGCCCTTCCTGTGTCCCCTGTGTCGAGGGGCGCCAGCGGGCTGCCCCTCACTCCTCCCAATTTCCTTCGACAGAGGCCCCGCTGCAGACGCTTCACATGGACGTGTGGGGCCCAGCCCGCGTCCGTGGACAGGGTCACGAGCGCTACTTCCTGCTTGTTTTTGATGACTACTCGCGTTACACCGCAGTCTTCCCCTTGCGCAGCAAGGGTCACTGAGGTGCTGATCGACTGGATCCGCGCAGCTCGTCTCCAGCTCAGGCAGAGCTTTGGCTCGGACTTTCCTGTTCTGCGTCTGCACTCGGACAGAGGCGGAGAGATTTCCTCTGGCCTTCTGAGAGCCTACTGTCGCGCACGAGGCATCCGTCAGACCTTCACGCTTCCGGACTCTCCGCAGCAAAATGGGATCGCTGAGCGCCGCATTGGCATGGTCATGGACGTCACTCATACGTCCATGATGCATGCGGCTGTCCCCCATTTTCTGTGGCCGTTTGCGGTGAGGTACGCTGCGCATCAGATCAACCTCCACCCCAGGGTCTCCAGGCCGGAGACCTCCTCAGCCTTGCTGTGGACGGGGAAGGTTGGCGATGCGTCGGCGTTCCGAGTCTGGGGATCTCGGGCGTTTGTCCGCGACTTGTCTGCGGACAAGCTGTCCCCTCGTGTGGCTCCTTGCGTCTTCCTGGGGTTTCCCCCTAACGCGCCTGGGTGGCAGTTCTACCACCCCACCTCTCGCCGTGTTCTTTCCTCCCAGGACGTCACGTTTGACGAGTCGGTCCCCTACTACCGCCTCTTCCCTACCGCACTCCGTCCCTCCCCCCGCCCCCGCTCTTCCTTGTCCCAGGTCCCCCCCCGGTAGACCCCCTCCCCCCTCAGGGTCCTGCCCCTTCAGGTGTGTCCCAGGTAGACGCAGTCGAGCCTGTCGAGGTTACTTATGACTCTGGTGCTGCTGAGGGTGCTGAGCCTGGGGGTGCTGAGGCTAGGGGTGCTAAGCCTGGGGGTGCTGAGACTGGGGGTGCTGAGCCTGGGGGTGCTGAGACTGGGGGTGGTGAGCCTGGGGGTGCTGTGCCTTGGGGTGCTGAGCCTGGGGGTGCTGAGCCTAAGGGTGCTGGGCTTGGAGGTGCTACGCCTGGAGGTCCTCTGGGTGCTTTGTCTTGCCGGGAGCCACTCTCTCCGCCGGAGCTGCGCGAGTGGTTTGCCCAACGCTGGAGGCGTGCTGCTGGAGCTGGAGGTTCTTCGGCTGCTGAGGGTGCTGGTGCCGCGGGTCCCGGAGGTGCTCATACTGGGAGTTCTGGAGCTTCTGGGCCTGCGGGTTCGACTGGAGCTGGTGCTGCTGGGGGCGTTGGTGCTGAGCCTACTGCTCGCGGTCCTGCTGGGGGTACTACTGGTGCTGCTGGCGGTTTTGGAGCTACTGGAGGTGCTGCTAGAGTGGGTGCTCCTGCTAGGGGTACTGGTGCTGTCCCTGCTGTGTCTGGCGTCGCCGCGCGGCCTCGACCGTACTTCGTTCCACTCCTGCCGCAGGTTCTTGGTCTTCCACCTTCTACAGGCCCTCCTCCTTCTTTAGAGTGTCCACAGCCTGTCCCGTCACAGTTACAGTTACAGCCTGCCTCCCCACTACCTGCTCCCTCTCCCTACACTGGTCCTACTTGAGGTCTTGCTGAGCGTCGTTAGCCTGCGTCTCGCCCTGCGTCGCCTGTTCGTGCTGCTCGCTCTAGTGGTCGTGGTTCGCGTCAGCGTCCTCCTCCTGTCCCTAGCACGCACCAGATGTCTTTGTATCTGTCCATTGCTCCTCTGCGTGCCCCTTAGCCTTCTCCTCCTGAGTCCTCTCTTCCTGCTCTTGCCGACCCGGAGTCGGACTCTCTACGTGCTGCCAGTCCTACTGTCATGCGTCTCCTTGCTACTGTTGTGACTGGCCCTTCTTTCAAGTCCACTGCTGCGTCTGCCCCAGTTGCTGAGCTCGTTGACTTTGCTGATCGCTGTCGCCTAGACTACGCTGCCAATCTTGTCGCTGAGTCCGAGTCTGTCTGTCCTCCGTCCGTCGGGGGTGAGTGTGCCCTTGGCACGGACGTCCTTGAGGACAGGCAGGAGGAGTTCTAGTGTCTGGCTGCTGCTTCACCTCATCTCGTGTCCGTACTGCTTACCCCTCAGGGAGACCCGGATGCACTTGACATCCCGACTCCGCGCTCTTACGCGGAGGCGATAGAGGGTCCCTACTCTTCCCAGTGGCAGGCAGCTATGGACACAGAGATCGCTTCCTGGAACTCCACAGGCACCTACGTTGACGAGGTTCCCCCGCCTGGGGCGAACATCGTCAGTGGCATGTGGATCTTCAGGGTGAAGCGGCTGCCGAGTTCTCCGCCTGTCTTCAAGGCACGGTACGTGGCTCGTGGCTTCAGTCAGCGGCAGGGAGTTGACTAATTTCAGACCTTCTCTCCCACCCCGAAGATGACCACTCTTCGGGTACTGCTGCACGTTGCTGCTCACCGTGACTACGAGCTGCACTCTCTCGACTTCAGCACAGCTTTCTTGAAGGGCAGCCTGCACGAGGAGATCTGGCTGCGCCGCCCACCTGGCTTCACTGGGTCGTTCCCTCCTGGTACCCAGTGGAGTCTCCGACGTCCAGTCTACGGTCTCCGCCAGGCGCCCCGTGAGTGGCACGACACACTGAGGACTACACTTGCGGCTCTTGGGTTTGCTGCTTCTACTGCCAACCCGTCGCTGCTTCTGCGCACCGACACCTCTCTGCCGCCTTTCTACATCCTCGGGTACATTGACGACTTGGTCTTTGCCACAGCTGAGACTGCTGGACTCGCCTACGTGAAGTCCGAGCTGCAGAAGAGACACACGTGCACAGACCTGGGTGAACTGCGCAGCTACCTTGGCTTGCAGATCACCCGGGACAGAGCACGCCGCACCATTACCCTGACTCAGTCACACATGGTGCAGCAGGTCCTTCAGCGCTTCGGCTTCACGTACTCCTCGCCTCAGACCACTCCTCTGCCTACTCGCCACTCGCTCTCAGCTCTGCCTTCAGATGAGTCCGTAGAGTTGAGAGCTGGTTGGCTGCCTCATGTACCTGATGACCTGCACACGACCTGACCTTGCATACCCTCTTAGCATTCTCGCACGCTATGTTGCTCCTGGGAGACACCGACCGGAGCACATGGCTGCAGCGAAGAGGGTGTTGCGCTACTTGTGCATTACGTCGGGCATGGGGCTAGTGCTTGGAGGGCGGAGTCCAGTGGTCCTCAATTGGCATGCAGACGCTTCTTGGGCTGACGACCAGGCTACGCAGCGGTCGTCACAGGGTTACACCTTCAGTCTTGGTTCCGGCTCTGTTTCGTGGCGGGCTACTCGCTCGTCTTCTGTTCTCAGCTCTAGTTGTGAGGCTGAGATCTACGCAGGGGCCATGGCTGCACAGGAGCTTTGCTGGCTCACCTACCTGCTGACTGACCTTGGAGAGCCGCCTTGTTCTCCTCCAGTCCTGTACGTAGACAACAAGGCCATGCTGGCCTTGTGTCGAGAGTAGAGACTGGAGCACAGATCAAAGCACATTGCTCTCCGCTACTTCCTTGCTCGTGAGCTACAGCAGCGTGGACAGTTGCGGCTTGCGTACGTGGCCTCTGAGGCCAACACTGCTGATGTCTTCACCGAGGCATTTGCTCCTTGTGATCATCAGCGCTTCTGCACGCAGCTGGGTCTTGTGCCTGTCTTGCCTCACTTGCTCACCTCTTGACCTTTTTGGTACTGTTATATATATCTATACGTGATGTTGCTTGTCTAGCTTTTATATATATGTACTCCTGCATGTGAACTGGCCCTGTGGCCCTGAACTTGTGCTCGAAATGTGTTGTGACTTTGAGATCCACCCTGAGCTTGCTTTGCTTTGCTTTGCTTGACTGGTCTTGTGACCCCTTGTTCTCCCCCACTTTGCCTATGGGGGTATGTCAGAACATTGTAGCTTATACATTTTGTGTAGGCTATAGTGGGGTATCCCATAGGGGGTACAACCCAATTAGGGTTAGTACTTGTACCCACTTCTTTCATAGTTCATTCATTCTTATTTCTTCTCAACTCCCCGTCCCAGTGAAGAGGCAATTCTCTTTGCGCAATCAAGGTTTCTCAGCATATAAAAATTAAAGACAAGTATGTGTTTTGACGGCAGGGACTTCTATACCTGGAGCTTTGAGTTGGAGCTGCTGCTGCAGAACACTCATATTTTTCATTCCTTCGATGGGAGTTACACGGAGCCTGCTAAAGATACCGACGACGGCAAGGCAAGGTACTACAACGAGTCCTTAATGGCGTACCGTATTCTTCTGCGCAACGTGTCGCCGGAGGAGCAGTTGAACATTCGTTCGTACAAAACTTCACCTGCTCCAGCCCTCGAAGCTTGGCGCCACCTGAACGGCGTGTATCAGCCGAAGGACTCCGTCTCCTCGAGCCGGCTGCTCCAGCAGTTAGTGGAGGCCAAAATGGCCCCAGGGGAGAAGGCCAACAGTTACATTAATCGCTGTCGGAGTCTTCGCAATCAAATCGCGAAGTTGGGAAGCTCGATACTAGAGGAGATTTTTGTCAACATCATGCTTCAAGGGCTCGGCCCAGAGTGGCGGCCCATGCAAGGCTCTTCTCCGGCAGCTGGGGGTAATCTCGGAGGCCGCCCTTTGTGCCGCCCTTCTCGTCGAACAACGGGATATGGATCAGCAGCGACCAACGCCTCGACGAGAACGTGAACGGCTCGCCTTCTACTCTGACAACACCGAAGATAGACGGCCGCGGCGCCTCTAGTACAAGATTTGCAGGAGCTTTGGGCATTTGGCCGATCGATGCAAGTCCCGATCTCGCCCTCGCCAGACCAATACGAGCAGCTGGCCGACAAGACGAACAAGGTGACGTGCGTCCAGCCCAGGGGTATCAACCCCCCGCGCGCAACCTGAACCCAACAGTTCAGCATCAGCAGCATTAGCAGTTATCGTCTGCCCCAGTACGCAACGTCATGAGCAACATGGCCATGACGGGCGAGTCGCGTCGTCGCCGCCTGCACTCACCATCATCTGAGCCAGCACCGCACCCCATTGGCGCGTTCTTCAACAGTAACCCGTTCAGTCCGCGCCACGATTTCTACGACGACGGTGACCAAGACTGGAATCTCCCAGTCCCGCTGCTGGACTCCCCCCACACATACCTGACATGCGGGCATCGCCATTCGATTAGCTCTTGCGCGAGCATTTTCTTGAATTTGACACACCTCACATCGTCACGCCGCGACTGGCGCTACACGCACGTGACGACAGGAAGCGCTACAACACCTGGTACCTGGACAGCCGCTGCGGCCAGCACATGGTGGGCTCTGAGCGTTACATATCGAACGCCGTCGCCACGCTCACGGTCACCTACGTCACAGTGGCCAACAACACGGGCCTGCGCGCAAGTGCGCAAGGCATTGTCGTGCTCAAGGCAAAGGGAAGCCGCACGCACATCGCACTCAACGATGTGCTCATCGTCTAGAACCTGCGCTTCAATCTGCTTTCCGCCGCCCAACTCATGGATTGTGGCGTTGATCTCAGCACGGATCACGAGACTCGTTACATCCTGCTGCGCTTTGAATCGAATACTTTCCCCTGCAAACAGATTGGAAGAGCGCACTCCGAAAATGGAGTGTACGTCTTGGACTTCGACTTTCCCGACTGCAGCAGTGACTCGAACGAGTTAATCGATCTCGTTCCACTACGCTTCGAACACATCCACCGCAAGGATTGGAAGCACCCTGAGGGAAGACCGTGGGTGCTGCATCACCCCCACCCACGCGAACTGGTGCTGCACGACCCTGACCGAAACGGCATCGGCAGAGACTGCCACACACCGACGGCATCAACCAACGCACCATCGTCGGCCGTGGGCTCGCTGCCATCGCCGAAGCAGAGCGACATGCACCTCCAGAAGAAGGCATGTCCGAGCTCGAGTTGGAAATCACCACGCACCGCGTTTTCGGCACCGATCAAAGCCCACTCGGGCCTTCCTCTCAGCGGCTCGAAAACCTTTTGCGCGGACAACGCCGAGGAACCTTCGATGCGCGTAGAGTCACACGCCCTTACACACGTGAAGAATTCCCGAAGCCCTACCTATGAAAGATAGCAGGCAGAAGCAGAATTGAAGAAAAGAGAGGGTTCACTAGCAAGCAGTTGGATACATATAGCAAACCCTAACTGGGTTGTACTCGCTATAGAGCACCCCACTGCAGGCTAGATAACATAACATTCTGACACACCCCCATAGCCAAACTGGGGTGTAATCGGCACAGCAAGCAGCAGTTCACAGCATTCACAAATAATAAGCAAAGCTAGAGGTAATCACAGTGGGCAAGTGAGGAGGAGGAACTGTGGAAGGAGAGAAGATGGGAGGCAACGGCTGAAGCTGCAGAGGCACGGACACAGGAGCGGCTGACTCAGTGGCTACCGAAGCAAGGGCGACAAACTACTGGAGTGACTGGCTTCGCGGCTAAGATGAGCGGCAGGAGCAACGGACCCACTAGCGACTGGTGCAACAGGCTCACTGGCTACCGAAGCAAGGGCGACGGACTACAGGCGCTGCAGGCGACATGACAGCTACCTCCGCACAACCTCCTCCAACTGACCCACACCTTTGACACACACCCCCTGCTGAACCCCTAACTCCACTCCCACGTCACCCCCTAGCACCACTCCTTCGGCTCCCACACACCCACCCCCCTGAGCGGTAGCTGCAGCAGCGGGAGACGGAGGAGGAGGAGGAGTAGGGGACGGGGCACACAACCAGCACCACCACAACCGCCATCCCCACACTCCCCACCCCCAAACCCTAAAACGGGTGGCACGGGGTAGGAGCGCGGGGGAAGGCGCGCGGCCCCCAGGGCGCCACCATGGGGCAGCGGGGGGGTCGCGCACGGCTCCGGGGGCGGCTCGCGGGTCCCCGGGGGCGACGCGAGGGTCGACGGGATGCCGCGCGCGGGTCCAGCAGGTCGCCGCGACCGTCGACGAGGCAGCGGGGGGTCGCGCGCAGCTCCCCAGGGCGGGGCGACGCGACCACCGACGGGGCAGCGGGGGCAGCGCGCGGGTCCCCCAGGGCGACGCGACGGACAGGGCGGGGGTGCGCGCGGGTCCCCCACGGTAGGAAACTGCCGCGCGCCTCGGGGCGCACAGCAGGCAGAAACTCGCCACGCGCCCCGAGCGCACGGCAGAAAGAAGACGGCGCACGCCCTAGGCGCGAGAGAAGCAGAACAGCAGCGGAAGCAGTTAGGTGGCGGGCCCACCCACAGGATCGACCCAAGGGTCGACCTGCCCTGAAACCATGTGAAAGATAGCAGGCAGAAGCGAAATTGAAGAAAGGAGAGGGTTCACTAGCAAGCAGTTGGATACATATAGCAAACCCTAACTGGGTTGTACTTGCTATAGAGCACCCCACTGCATGCAAGTTTATATAACATTTTGACACTACCCCCATTGGCGCGACCCCACGAAAAAGCTTACCGTGGAGCAAGAAGAGGAATTAGCGCGACGTGAAGCTGAGGAACTTCGCCGACAGAGCCTCGCCGAAGCACGCGGGACATTTGCCTGCAGCACATGGGGGGGCGAAGACGACAAGAACGCCACCAATGAAGGGGGGTGGGGGACCGCTGAAGGATGGGGAACAAGTGATACCAGCGGCTGGGGCGATATCGGCGGCACCTGGACAACCGCAAGCGGCGGATGGGGCGTCGCAACTGGCGGCAAAGGCATCGGCAGGGGTGCTTCCCGTGACGAACAATGGGGGGAAGAAGAAAAAGCTGGGGCGCAACCCGCAGTTGTTCCACTTGGTCGCCCCCCGCGCCATGCCCCACTCACACTACCTCCTCCTGACAAACCGCCGCATCGCGACCCCTGGGACACCATCAATTGGGGCAACGAGCCGTCGACCCCGCGTCGCATCGTCAACGGACCTGCTCCCAAACCGCCTGAACCCACCTTCGTCCCCGGAACTATCCCTGGAACTAACATCCCCCTCTCCAAAATCCGCGACAGAGAGTTCCTGGCGCTGATGTTAACCACCGCCAACGAAGAAGCTGAAGCAGCAGAAGAAGCCGCAGCAGCACCTGCCTCTGTACTTGACGAAGACCCTGACAAAGCTCTCGCGCGCTACATGCTCACCTCCGGTTTTCGCGCCGACGATGCACTCTGGCATCAGCGTCTCGGCCACCCTTCCCGCACGACACTGAAAAATTGCATCGAAGCAGGCGTCTTCGCTCCCGAGGCGCTCTTGCGACCAGATGGCACCGAAGTGAGAGGCACAACACATCCGCGCAATTGCAACGTCTACCCCGAAGCCACGCTAAGCCACCAACCGTTCCCGCTGCTCAAGCCTGGGACGAACCATACCCCAAGCTACACAAGGTATACAGTGACTTCCTGAACGTGGGGCACTGCGGAGTCGACGACGAAATGTACACGCTTACCTTCATCGATGCTGTGACGCGCTATGTGTGGGTCGTGAACGTGGAATCATGCAGCAGAGCAT